GTGTTGCACACACACACACACACACACACACACACACACACACACACACACACACACACACACTCACTCGGTGAGTTTTTTTATGATGTTGCATTCTTTCTATTGTTGCTTATTCTTCTTTTGCTCCTTCCTCTTTCTCTGTCCTACAACCCTCTTTTAATTCTACCTCATTACTTGCTCAGAGTTTGTCTTTCCTTGTTTTGTTCATTAAGTCGTTTTTGATTAGAATTGTGCCTTGACGCGTTGGGATCAGGCGCTCGTCATTTTTGGGGCATGTAGAGTTATTGGTATAATTTTAAAGCTTGTTCATTTGTCTATCATTTGCTGAAAAAAATAACAACTCAATTTTAACTTGAATAAAAGTCAAGAAATTTGGGATTGAAGGAGGTGAGGACCACCTGGTTTCAGCCGTAAAATAAGCAAAAAAAATGGCCACCAAATTTTGGTGATTTCCAAAACTTGAGAGTCCTTGGAAAATGAAAATTTACACTTTTTAAAATCTAATCAACGATTTTCAGAAATATTAACAGAGAAATTTACTTTTTTATAGAGATAAAGGGCGATGAACCCCCCCCCCCCCCCAAAAAAAAAGATAAAAATTGCCAAACCGTCAGAAAAAATGCCGGTATCTTCGATTTCATTAATTTGACGGGGTTTCACTACGATGCCTCACAAACTAAATTATTTTTGTCCCTTTTCCCGCTCTATTCTTCCTCTTTCTGTTCCCCTCTCAAGTTTGTTTGTTTGTTTGTTTGTTTGTTTGTTTGTTTATTTGTTTGCTTGTTTGATTTTGGTTCCTTACTCTTCGTTTTTCTGTACTCATTTTTTTCCTGACACTTCATCTCCGTTTCTCTTGATGTACCTCACACTTTTTAGTTGTGCTTTTTAAAATTATTTTTCCCCTCATACCCTTATTTCCCTAGTTTGGTTTAGGTTTTTCGTTCATATCTTTATAAATATAGTCACTGTTTTTTTATTATCTATATTATTATTATGATTTATTTCGAAACTCTTCTTTTCTATTTGTGTTGTTACCATTTTAAAAATAAATGTATTGTGTCCTGATTGGGTTTGTTTCCATTTTTCTTTCTGTTCTGACACTTAAAAAACAATAATTATGCTCTTACTCTGGGTGCTGATTTCTATTTGTGTTCTGACCTTTTTTTGGTCGTTTTCTATTTGTGACGTCACTCGTTGTTGGTTTCTATATATGTTTTCATTCCTTTTGTTCTTTTCTGTTTCGCTGTTCACTCTTGTTGTTCTTTTCTGTTTCGCTGTTCACTCTTGTTGTTCTTTTCTGTTTCGCTGTTCACTCTTGTTGTTCTTTTCTGTTTCGCTGTTCACTCTTGTTGTTCTTTTTCTATTTGTGACGTAACTTTTGTTCATTTCTATTTTTGATGTAACTTTTTATTCATTTCTATATGTGATGTAACTTTTTGTTCATTCCTATTTATGTTCTCAGTCTTTCCGCTGCTTACTTTACCCTATCACTTTTTCAAATCGCTTGTTGATTTGTCCAGGCAAAGCTTGTCGGAGAGGAAGCATCCACTCCGTCCTTGAGAGAGCTGCGTCCTTGACCTTCATCTCCACCTTGTCCAGCATGGGAAGTCTGCCTAGTCTGTTCGACATGGGCGAGATGAGCTCAGATGAGGAGGACTCCAGGTGAGGTCACTTTCGGCGGGGGGGGGGGAGGTTTTTTTTTATCTTGTTGGTTTTGTTGTTGTTGTTGCTTTTGTTGTTGATTGATGCTGTTTTTGTTGTTGATGGTGGTGTTGTTGTTGTTGCTGTTGGTGTTGTTGTTGCTGTTGTATTTGTTGATGGTGGTGTTTTCTTTTTAGTTTTAGCAGCAAATTTATTATTATCATTAACAGCATTGTCATCACCATTATCGCTATTTCTGATGATATTGTTATTCTATTTTAATTCTTATTCTTATTCATATTCTTATTATTATTTTCAGTAGTAGTAGTAGTAGTAGTAGTAGTAGTAGTAGTAGTAGTAGTAGTAGTAGTAGTAGTAGTAGTAGTAGTAGTAGTAGTAGTAGAAGTAGTGGTGGT